TGAACATTGGTGTGCAAATATCTGTTTGAGTCCCTGCTTTCAATTCTTTGGGTTATATACCTCGAAATAAAATTGCTGGATCAGATGGTAACTCTATGTTTAACCTTTTTTTAGAAATCACCAAACTGTTTTCCACAGTGGCTGCACCATAACACATTCCCCCTAGAAATGGATGAGAGTTCCAATTTCTCCACATCCTCGCAAGCACTTGCTTTTTCTGTTTTGGTGTGTGTGTGTGTGTGTGTGTGTGTGTGTGTGTGTGTGTGTGATTAATGGTTGTGAAGTAGCATCTCACTATGGTTTTGGTTTTGCAATTCGCCAAAGACTAGTGGTGTCGAGCACCTTTTCATGTGCTTATTGGCCATCTGTAGATCTTCTCTGGAGAATTGTCTATTCAAGTCCTTTGCTCATTTTTAAATTGTGGTTCTTTATATACTCTGGATATTAATCCCTTATCAGATATGTGCTTTGCAAATATTTTATCCCATTCTATGGGATGTCTTTCAATCTCCTAATAGTGTCCTTTGATGCAGAAAAGTTTTAAGTTTTCATAACATTTAATTTATTTTTTCTTTTGTTGTTTATGCTTTGGGTATATAAATCAGCAGTCGCCAACCAGTGGTCCGCTGGTGGTCCATGAGGTTTGAAAAGTTGGCATCTGCTGGTTTAAGGAAAACTTTGGAGCAGTGGTCGCCAACCTAGAGGTCTGAAAGGTTGGTGACTGCTGAAATAAATCATCCTAGAGGCCCGGTGCATGAAATTCCGGCACGGGTAGGGCCCCTAGGCCTGGCCGGTGATCTGGGCCGATAGGGGCCTTCTGGCTGCCGGCCGGGGCCTTTCTTCCCCAGCTGCTGGCCAGGGCCTTCCTTCGTTCCGCGCCGCCCCCTGATGGTCAGCGCACATCATAGCGAGCAATTGAACTCCCGGTTTCCCGGTTGAACTCCTGAGGGGACACTTTGCATATTAGCCTTTCATATATATAGATAACTTTTGAAAAGAATAATGTGGCAGACATTAGCCAAATGATCAAACTTAACATCACCAAGAATGAGACAAACCAACATGACGTGCTCTGAGAATGACACAGCATCACTTCTTTGATATTTCTGCCAAAATGTCAGAAATGTCAAACCTGGATCTAATCATGAGGAAACATCAGACAAATCCTAATTAAGGGACATTTTGCAAAATAACTGATGTGGGCTCTTCAAAAACGCCAACGTCTTGAAATGCTGACAAGGCAAGGGGGCTGTTCCAGATTCAAGGAGGCTAAAGGGATGTGACAATTAAATTCAACCTATGATCCTAGATTGGATTTTGGGACAGAAAAAAAATCTGTAAGCAATATTGCTGAGATGTTCAGTGACATTTTTTATTTTTTTATTTTTATATATTTTATTGATTTTTTACAGAGAGGAAGGGAGAGGGATAGAGATTTAGAAACATCGATGAGAGAGAAACATCGATCAGCTGCCTCCTGCACACCCCCCACTGGGGATGTGCCCGCAACCAAGGTACATGCCCTTAACCGGAATCGAACCCGGGACCCTTCAGTCCGCAGGCCGATGCTCTATCCACTGAGCCAAACAAGCCAGGACATCAGTGACATTTTTTTAATTGATTGATTTGAGAGAGAGAGTAAATGTGGCAGGATGTCAACAATTCGTGAATATAAGATGAATAATGTATTGAAGTTCATTGCACTAATATTGCAACTTGTGGATATAAATATTTTCTATATAAAATAAAGTTGAAGCCCAGCCGGCTTGGCTCAGTGGTTGAGCGTGGACCCATGAACCAGGAGGTCACAGTTCGATTCCCAGTCAGGACACATGCCCGAGTTGTGGGCTCCATCCCCAGTAGGGGGCGTGCAGGAGTCAGCCAATCAATGATTCTCTCTCACTACTGATGTTTCTATCTCTCCCTCTCCCTTACTCACTTAAATCAATAAAAATATATTAAAACAAATAAAAATAGCCCTAGGCGGTTTGGCTCAGTGGATAGAGCATCGGCCTGTGGACCAAAGGGTCCCAGGTTTGATTCCTGTCAAGGACATGTACCTCGGTTGCAGGCTCCTTCCTGGCACGGGCCCTGGTCAGGGCTCATGCAGGAGGCAACCAATCGATGTGTTTCTCTCACATCAATGAAGATAAAGAAAAGGAAAAATCAAATGCTACAATGTGCAGGCACCACTCCACACCTCTGTTTCTCCAACAACATGTCCGAGGGACCATCCAGGTCGATGCACTGAGATCTCTCACTCATCCGAACCACTGCCTAATATCTTATGTGACTGCATTTGGACCAATTGCCTTTCCCCTATCGATGCATATGTTGTCTTTTCTAATATTCCCCAATGACAAGCATGCTGAATGACATTGCAAAGGAGAGAATCTTTCCAGAGTCCATACTACACTATTAGGATTGATCCTTTCTGTCCACGTCCGTGGAATGTCACCTTAGACTCCAAACTGCCCCGGCTGTGAGATTCCTGAGGATAGAGACTAAGTCTGTTTGCCTGCTTGGGCACTCTGTCCCCCAACACACACTAATCATTGCTTGGTTAACTTCTTCCTTCCTTCCTTCCTTCCTTCCTTCCTTCCTTCCTTCCTGAGAGAGAGAGAGAGAGAGAAACATCAATAGGTTGCCTCTGTTGTGTATTCCAACTGGGGATCGAACCCGGACCGGGAATCAAACAGGCAACCTTTTGGTGTACAGGATGATGCTCAACCAACTGTGCCACACTGGCCAGAGCTCCACTCATCTTCTAATTTCAGGTAAATGCCACTGCCTCTGCGATGCTGTTCCCAAGTCTCAGCTAGTCCAGGGGCCTCCCTATAAGCCAGCGGTTCTCAACCTGTGGGTCGCGACCCCTTTTGGGGGTCGAACGACCCTTTCACAGGGGTCGCCTAAGACCATCGGAAAACACATATATAATGACATATTGTTTTTTGTGATTAATCACCATGCTTTAATTATGTTCACTTTGTAACAATGAAATTGGGGGTCACCACAACATGAGGAACTGTATTAAAGGGTCGCGGCACTAGGAAGGTTGAGAACCACTGCTAAGCACCTGCGGTAGCAGCCTCCAGGGTGAACCACAGTGAGTCACACCTGGTGCTCGTGTCCCCTCCTACGTTAGACAGAGCTGATCTACGTACCAGTAAGACACTGGAAATGACGAAGGGTGACTTCTGAACCTCCGTCAGAGAAGCCATTGCAGCGTCTGCCTTGCCCTTTCTTGGATCCTTCACTCTGGGGGGAACAGCTGCCACGTGGGGACACTCATGTCCTCGAGGAGAGGCCCCCTTGTGGGGAACTGAGGCCTTCAATAGCCAGCATTAAGCCGCCAACCCCACGTGAACAACCTCATGAGAGCCTCCAAGCTAGAAACTGTGTGAGATACAAAATGTCAACTGTTGCTTCCTAAGTAACTTTTTTTTATTTGCATAATGTCATTTCATTTCCCCTGAAGGCTGCCTGGGTGGGGACAGTGTCTCTTTTCCTGCTTCCTGTTCATTTGTTCGTTCATTCATTCATTCATTCATTCATTCATTTATTCATTCAGAAAAATGTTTCTTGAATACTAGACTAGTGCCAGCACTAAGCTAAACACTGGAGATCAGGGCTGGGACTAAGGTGGAGCAAGCAAGGTGCCCAGAGAATGAACTTCAACGAGGTGTCACTTTCAGCTCATGCAAGGTCTGGATCAGCACCTAAGTGGGAGTGTCTTTTAAAAGTTTCCACCCTGAACACCTTGCTTACTTTATCCTGGTCCCAAATCTGTTGGAGACTGCATAGTGCACAGGACAGAAATGATCACTGACCTCTTCTTTTTTTTAAATGTTTTTTTATTGCCGTAACCGGTTTGGCTCAGTGGATAGAGTGTTGGCTTGCAGACTGAAGGGTCTCAGGTTCGATTCCGGTCAAGGGCATGTACCTTGGTTGCGGGCACATCCTCAGTAGGGGGTGTGCAGGAGGCAGCTGATCGATGTTTCTCTCACATCGATGTTTCTAGCTCTCTGTCCCTCTCCCTTCCTCTCTGTAAAAAAATCAATAAAATATATTAAGCTCTGGCGAAAAAAAAAAATCAAACTAACTACTTACCTACATAATTTTGGGGGTATGAGAGGGGAACCTTTATATGTAGGGCCTCTAAACAGGTCTGTGGAGGTGGTGTTTAAACTAAAGAAGCCAGTCTCTCCTTGGCCGGTGTGGCTCATTCCGCGGAGCATTGTCCTATCGATAGAGAGGTAGGTCATCAGTTCTATTCCTGGCGGGCTCCATCCCCAGTAGGGGGCGATGGATGTTTTTCTCTTTCTAAAATAAATAAAAACATATTTTAAAAAAGAAAAGAAGCCAGCCTTAGAATGAATGGGGGGAGGCCTTCCAAAAGGCACGAGGCGGGAAAGCCCTTGGCCTATTTGTGTAGCTTAAAGAAGACTGTACCTCTGGACAGGAAGTAAGAAGATCCCTATTACCTGATGTTAACGATGAATATTCATGATGTTAGCTAATATTTATTGAGCACTTACTATGTGTCAAGCACTGTGCTAGGTACTTTGGAAGTTATCAAAGCTTTCAAACAATCCTACCGAGGCGGCCCCTTGATCTCTCCTATTTCACAGACGAAATTAAGAGGTGAAGTTGTTGGCCCAGAGTCTCACGGCTAGGAAATGCAACGGCAGAATTTGCACACGCACAGTTCACGCTCTTATACTACTCTCCGTCTCCCATAGGGAAACACTCAACGTATTTTAACAAAGCCCTGGGTGAGCACGGCAACACAGTTACATTTCCAGCGTCCCACACGCCGTTTCTTATTTAAAACTACTATTCCCAGCATGCCCATCCCGCCTTGAAGGAGGGGCCATGAGAACTACTTTTCCCAGAATGCAACGCTCAGCTTGCTCACCGCCGAGGGTTTCGGTAATTGTAGTCCTCCGAAGACACAACTCCTAGCATGCATGAGGAAACGGGGAGAGGAACACGGACAGAGGAACACGGACAGAGGAAAACGGACAAATTCTCAGGATGTTGGGAAGAAGGACCGTCTCTTTTCCCCACCTTGCCACCCTGACGCGCAAACCCATTCTTGTGACTACAATTCCCAGCGGGCTGTGCGCTAGAGGGCGAGCGGATTCTTCTGCCGGAAGTCCGCTCTAGCCCTGGATCCCCCAACACCTTGCAGAGCGGGAGCCGCCCAGTCGCCGCGGGACCGGGGCAGCTGGGGTCCGGACGGGGGTCGCCATGGTAACTGGGGCGCGCTCGCGTTGGGGACGGGAGGAGAGTGGGCCCACGTGCAGATTGGAGGCTGGGTCGGGCACTGACAAGCCCCCCCCCCCCGCTGCGGTGCGTTGGTCTGGGCCGGGCGCGAGCTCTCGGAATTGGGGCCGATCAAAGGCCGGGAAGCGGGGAACTGAGCGCTGATTCTGGGCTTGGGGGTACATCGGGGGCCTGGAGGCTACGGGTCGTTGGAGATAAGGTGCCAAGGGGAGAGGGCTGTAGAGTGGGAGACATTGGAGATGATTGGGGGGTTCTGAAACCGGGAGGCAATTGCCGAAGCAGGGTCTCGAGGGTAGAAAGAAGGAATCGGAGGCAGGGAGGGGGCGTCCCTAGAGGAGGGCCCTCTGGGAGCGTGGCAGGAGCGTGGGAGAAGGAGAGAGACATCGGGATGAAAGAGAAAGGGTCTCCGGAGGCAGGAAGCTGGCTTTGCAGGCGGAAGGGGGTGCTGAAACGGGCGGGATGCTGTTGGTGGGAGACTGGGACGTGGAGGCGGGAAGTGGACCACTGTAGGGAATGGGCCTTTGGAGTCCGGGAAAGCGTGCTGCGGAGGGGAAGAAGGCTTGGCGGAAGGGAATGGATACTAGTCATGAAATGGGGTGCAATGTGACAGGTCTTCCCAACGGGGAGGTGAGTCGGAGTAGGCACGGAAGTGAGAGATTGGGCTTTTGGAGCAAGGACTGGGTATGGGATTTGGCACCTGACCCCCGGGCTGGGGCTTTTGGATCGTAAGAAAGGATTCTTTGGGCCGGGAGCTGGGAAAACAGATGAAGGGTGGTGGGTGTCGGAACAGCTCCCCCCTCAACTCTGTAGGTTTGCTTCTAGCTCTCCTTCCTGGAGGCCCAGAGTGCCTCCGCCTCTAGAGGTCCACCCCTACGCAGGCGCCTTTCCTTCCGGCCCCTGACCCCTGCCCTGCTGGGAAGTGGTTTTCCCTGGCTCAGCAGAAGGGGTTCTTGGAAGGAGGTAGTAAGAGCCTGTCCTAGCCAGCTGGATTGCTGGGGGGAAGTGGATAGAATATGTGGAGAGCGAGATTTAGGAAAGAGTAGACTCTTGCGACAGGGCGGGGGCTCCCCCCTCCCTCCCTCCTACCCCCCTCCCCCCACCCCCTCACAGGGTAAGGGAGCTCAGAGCAAAGCCATTGGACTCCCAGCTCTGCTTGCTGGCTGTGAGACTTCTTCCTCTGAGCTTCAGTTTCTTTATCTATAAAATGGGCATAAGCATGCCTGTCTCAAATAGAACTGGGCCCAAAGGCAGGCTTCCTATCCGGGTGAACTTGGGCTGTAGTTTTCTCAGTCAGACGACGGTGAATGATAATATTACGAAGAACTAACACAGTCAAACCTCGGTTCTCAAACGTCTCCCCTCTTGAACAATTTGGTTCTCCAGCAAGTTGTTCATGGGAAAATGTCTCGGTTGTCGAACAGCACCTCGGTTCTGGACCCGACGCCCCTGTCATACTGTTACCTGTGTGATCAGTCAGGCGACAACGGAGAGAAGGCTCCAGTGTGAGTCAGTTTACCACTAAACCTGGCGCTGTTCACATAAGTCTCCCTGGGTTCTAAGAAGGTTAGTGGCAGCAGCAAAGTGAAAAGGAAAGTTGTGAGAACAACAATAGAGCTGAGAAAAGAAAAAACTGCAGAGTGTGATAGAGGTGTTCAGGCGTCTGATCGGCGAAATCCGCGATTCGTACAATTTTAAACCGTAAGGAGGCCACCGAGAGTGCTGATGTTGCTACGGGTGTGGAAGCGCTCCTGGAACAACGATCACAGGCAACTGAGAAAGTTTAAAACAGGGAATCATTTGGGGGGTCTGGAATGGGTTCATTCAATTTACATGATTTCTAAATGGGAAAAATGACTTGGTTTTCGAACATAGCGCTTCCTGAACAGCCTTCCAGAATGAATTGAGTTTGAGAACTGAGGTTCCACTGTACTTACGTGTCACTTAGTATGTGCCAGTCACTGTACTACGACCCTTATGTTTAGTAACCTGTGCAACAGTCTTATGAGGGAGGGACTGTCGTTATGTCCATTATACAGAGGGGAAAACTAAGGCCCAGAGAGGCTCAGTGACTTGCCCATGGACGCAGGGCGAGCAGTGCTGAGATTCATTCAGACTTGTCGAGTTTGAGTTCTTAGCCACTCGGTCAAATGCCCCTCAGTCATCACAATAGCTAATTTTATTGAGTGCTCAGTGTGTTACGGGCCCTCTGCTAAGGACTTCTGGCATTAACGA